TAAAGCTTTAAAATGCAAGGTTTTAGTTTTCCAAATAATTAGATGCCTTACTAAGCCCTTATTTAAAAACAGCACCCAGGCAATTTTTCAAGGGGATACCTCATGATTGGCACAGTTACTGAATAATATAATTGTTTGGATGGTACTCTATTGTGAGCACACACTTTTGGGGGTGAAAAAAACACAACGCTTTCTCCACCTTTCTTTGGGTAAAGCTAGTCCCTTTTCTTTAGAAAGCTATATTTGTGTTAAAGCTTTAAAATGCAAGGTTTCCCAAATAATTAGATGCCTTATTAAACCCTTATTAAAAAAAAAACAGCACCCAGACAATTTTTCAAGGGGGTACCTCATGAGTGGCTCAGTTACTGAATAATATAATTGTTTGGATGGTACTCTATTGTGAGCACCAACTTTTGGGAGTGAAAAAACAAAACCATTGAAAGCAATTAAAAGTAAACTGAAAGTAAATTGAAATTAAATTGAAATCAATTGAAAGCAAAATGAAAGTAAATTAAAATCAATTGAAAGTAAATTGAAATTAATTGAAAGTAAATTGAAATCAGTAAATTGAAATCAATTAAAAGTAAATTGAAATCAATTGAAAGTAAATTAAGAGTAAATTTACATAATTTAAAGATAAATTTAAATCAATTGAAAATAAATTGAAACCAATTAAAAGTAAATTGAAATCAATTGAACGTAAATTAAAAGTAAATTGAAATCCTTACTTAAGTTGATTAACCAACAAATTGTTGGGGGGAGCAGAAAGAAAAGTGCGAGTTATAGAGTATCCTCAAATTGTTTGAGGGGGGGAGGGGGGGGGCCTCACACTAATCAGCAGCGAACATTATATTCAATACACGGTATCCATCCTTTAACTAGTTTTAACCTGAGGATTGTACTATTCTCATAATTCATGATGATTCCCCATCCCTCCAAGAAAAAACCCAGAAATGCTGGAGTTGCCAGGCGCCTTTTGCGCTTGTCGTTATCGTCGTCCCAATCCGCTTCAAACGTGCAGGAGGCGTAGCTGCCATCGGAATAGGCGGACTCGCAGGCCGAGTAGTCCGAGTTCACGTCCGACATCTCAGCCAACAAGGAACTGGGTGATATCAATATCATGCCGAAAAAATGCCGCAAAAATCAGGTGTAGGCAGGATATGACATCTTAGATGATTTAGATGATATGTACTATGTACCGTATTTATTTTCATATCAACACACTTTTCTATCGTTTTAGGGTTGTTACTATTGAGTTAGAATCTTCACCACCGATCATTGAAATCATGTTGATATCGGTACTGTCAATTAATTATTAATGTTCCTTATTTGGGGTTTTCCTAAAATGGTGGTACCCCAAAATGGATGGTTTATAATGGAAGATCCTATCAAAATGGATGATTTGGGGGTACCCTCATTTTAGGAAACGGTGGGTGATGATGGAGAGGATAGTGTACTTTTGTCATCTGTCAACATTGGATCCTACTGTCATTTCTGAATATTCTCTCCTTCGTTCTTCCCTTTTTCTGTCCAGTTTTTCTTCCTACATACCCATCATCAGACAAATGGCTTTGGGTAAACGAAACGGAGCACACCCTAACCAACTACAACGAAACGTACATGGTCTAGGATGATTAAAGAAGATCATCCTAGCCAGCACATGGTCTTGGAAATTTAACAAGATCCCCCTAGCCACACGAATGGCTTTGGGTAAATGAAACCGAAAACACCCTAACCAAATACTGGCTTAGGCATAACTTGGCGAAACCAAGCCCCTTCACTTCGTTCCTTCGGAGGAGATCGGGGCAGGTGGTGGGAAACCCAAAAGTTCCGGTTGGACGGGATTCGTGCATGCAACTCCTTTGGAGAACACATGCACTACATGCCCTTTCCGCCCTCTGCATTGACTCTTAAGAGCGCACTTTTCTGTGCCAGGGTCAATGTGCCATCTGACTAAAAAGGCAAAGATCATCCTAGCCAAAAAGGCAAGATCATCCTAGCCAGTGCATGGTCTAGGATGATTAAAGAAGATCATCCTAGCCAGCACATGGTCTTGGATGATTTTATAAAGACAGACAACATAGACAACCCTAGCCACACAAATGGCTTTAGGTAACGAAACGTACATGGTCTAGGATGATTAAATAAGATCATCCTAACAAGTACATGGTCTTGGAATTTAACAAAGATAACCCTGGCCACACAAATGGCTTTGGGTAAACGAAACGGAACACACCCTAACCAACTACAACGAAACGTACATGGTCTAGGATGATTAAAGAAGATCATCCTAGCCAGCACATGGTCTTGGAAATTTAATCAGATCCCCCTAGCCACACGAATGGCTTTGGGCAAATGAAACCGAAAACACCCTAGCCAAATACTGGCCTAGGCATAACTTGACGAAACCAAGCCCCTTCACTTCGCCCCTTCCATGCGTCCCAACCCGGCTGCGAGACGCTCGGCGAGCAGCGCGGATATATTTCGAGGATTGCATGGCTGAGCTGGTGAAGACATGCTTCTGAAGGCTTTGGTTAAAATGGCAATAGGTCAAGCAGCGCGGCAGCTGAGACTGCGCGTGAAATTTCCTCAATACAAGGTGGGTCTGTGACTGATATATCGAGATGCAGATGAGCTGCGGCAGAGTTTCTGGACAGGCTGCGGGTGCTTACCCTCGACGTTCAAGGCATCACCCAGAAACTAGCCGCAGCTTCTTGGAAAGGTCCCTGTGCCTTTCGCAACCTGCCCATGTTTCTCTCATAATGCCATTGGCCAAAGTATCTGGCCAAGAACTGGACCACGAACCTTGGGCCATCTTCTTTCATAGATGAATCTTGGAAACAAAAATTGGAATTTGATGAACGAATTTACCAGCAAAGCTGCACTATATTTAACAGAAATGCCAGGCGCTGCCATGACAGCGGGGCGAGCCATTGTTCCTGGGTTGCCGATCAACTCCCAGGACAGACCGTGAAAGGTCGGAGCAGCTCGCCAGCCACAGTGCTTTGGTGGCTCCAACTATTAGGTATGAAGTCTGGATTTTGCCACTGCCAGATCGAAGGGCAGAAGAGCTTGAACCTCCTTGGCAGAGCGGCGATGAAGTTCTAAAGGCTTTAACTCAAACTTCACAGCGCAGCTCTGCAGCTTCTCCACACGACACGTGGCAGTTTTGAAAACCGGGAAGAGCGCAGGCCAGCTGGTAATCGAAAAAGTGGCCCAGAGGATCCGCATGGCTACCGGCCAAGCCTGCACGGATCCTAATTCAAGCTACAGCCGAACATTATTAGAGGCCCTGAATGTAATGAATGCGCCTGCCGCCTGCTCAGTTTCAATTTCCAGCGAAGGCAAGTCAACAAAGCAGACCCTTATACTCCAGCTTGCAGCGAGCATCCGTGGCAAACATCGTGGTGAGCTTCGATCCCTGGTTGAAAATCTGCTGGCTCTAAAAACAGACAGCGTTAACAGATCATAGTCAAAGGCAGCTTGCATGCCGTCAAACCATGACACTAACAGATCAAGGAGACAAAACATGCACTGCAAAGACGCTAGTTTTGACACCGATCAGCTAGCTCTCGCCACAGCCGCATGTGCCGGCTATCAGTCAAAGGTGCTGGACGGGCAGACAACTTCAAGGCCGGCCAGTGTGAATGGGAGCCATTGGAACGCGTAACATCGAGCAGCTGCAACAAACTGCTGCTCCTGAATCCAAACAAATCAACAGTACACATTCAAGTCCAGCACCTGACCCACATCACAGGGTAATTGAAGAAACAACGCCCCAGCTGCGATCGGCTGACCCAGTTCACATGATGTGGCACATGGCCACATAGCTACTCTAGTGGCTTCTTGCTGGGGCGCTTTACGAATTAGACAAAATAGTTTTGACCTGTGGATTGATGGAACTTTGTCTGCACGAAAACATTATTGCTCTGCAGCAAAATCAAACGTCTTTGGAAAGAACAAGTCCGGTCAGCAGCCTTCATGCCGCAGGTCTCGTTTTTGGATGCAAGAAGGGGGGAAGCAATATTGCTGCCAGTGGCCCCTTGCTCCTCCAAACCGCCAGCTTCCAAGTAGCTGACTGCCAGACGCGGCTACAATGGCGACAACTCAGGCGAGCCCACAAGCGGCTAGATCGAACAAATTGTGCCATCAAGCACACAAGATCTCTACTGCTGGACAAAAGCCAAGCCACTTCCCGACTTACAGCCTCTCAAGCACGCCGGCACCAGCGCCGCATCACGGTCACAAACGTTATCGTTTCACTGCCACCACCTCCTCCTGGCTCCTGGGCCTAACAAGATATTGCCACCATCGAGGGCGTCTCTACTGGTTGGACAAGCCAGCTTGACTTGAGCAGTATCACCATCCACCTCATGCTTCCCCACATTCTCCCACAGAGGGAAACCGGGGAGGTTTCTTGGATTTGGAAATATTACTGGTTGCTGGCCATCTGTGAAACCCTTGCTCCAAATACGCCCCGTGCCCACAACTCACTGTGGTTTGGAACTTGGGTGTTGGTAAAGCGGCAGGTGTGGGAAGCGCCGCGCTTCCCTGTCCTTTGGCCGACATCTGACCCTGGCACCGCCAATCACCCAAGTGCCTTCTGGAGCGCAATACCCGGGCAAGAGTAAACTGCTGCTACCACACCTCAGTCAGAGAGACCCAGGTGACGTGGCTCAGCATTCAGTCCTCCTTCCTTTCAAACGCTTTCCCCTTCACCTTTCATGCAGCTTGACCATTCAAAACAACAGAACTGCCCATCTCTCCTACCCCATGCCCATCTCTCCTACCCCATGGAGAGGATCTGGAGGGGGATTTTGGGGAAAGATCTTGGGGGTACTTCTATGCTGGCCACAAAAGTTGACTGGCCTAACGCACGTGCCATGATCCGTGAGACCATTCAAAACAACAGAACTGCCCTTCTCTCCTACCCCATGAAGAGGATCTGGAGGATGATTTCGGGAAAGAAAAATATGTCTCTGCTGGCCGCAAGTGTTGACTGGCCAAACGCTCGTGCCATGATCCGCGTGGCTCTCAATCCAAAAACTCTTGGTTACCCCTTCCATGCCTCAATATCACTCATGCCTCGTAGGGATAGGCAGGCCAATGCAGCTGCTTAGCCAAGAGGGATTTTTTTCAATGAATCTTGGGTCATGGCAGCGGATCCAGAAACTCAAGGACACCGGGCATGGGAACTGAAGACATCTCCATTCCTTCCAAAACAGTTGCTTGCAGGCCCGATTTTATCGTCCGAAGCTATTTGCCTAGGAGAAAGAAAGGCTTATGACTCTCCGGGCCCCCACTTCATGCCAGCGAGGAGGGGAACTAGACCTCAAGCCGTTGGCGGCACCATTTCAAAAATGTTGCTGGGCGGGCTACCCCATAGCGGGGTCTGCCCAGCCCAAAAAGCAGTGAAAGCTCGCAACTCGCTAACCAAACCTTTGCTCATCCTCCCCCATACCCCGAGGAGAGGACCCCTGGCTCATGCCAGTGGGGATAGAAGCTCAAGCTTCCCTCCTCCCTTGGGGCACACGCTTTTAAACTTTAAACATTTTTTTGTGGCATAGTCAGCCGGCTACCCGATAGTGGGGTCTGCCTGGCAAAATTCATTTCAAGGAGTAAGGCTCTTGACTCTCATGCATTATCCCAAAGACGGCCGCTCAACTTGGGAGCCACCAACGGGCCGGGCAGTCAACATTAGCATGTTCTGGGGCAACCTCTCACTGCAGTCTGCCTGGCCACGAAGGGCAAAAGCCTTCAAGAAAAGCCTTCAAGAAATACCCTACATGACAGACAAACCCCAGACGAACAATCCATAGCTGTCGCGTGGACATAAGTCAGAAACATCTTGAGGACTTTGGGACGTCACAGCTCCGTCCTTCAACATCACGGCCTGTCAGAAATCTTAAGAATCCATCACGCTACCATGCTGCATCTTGGACATTGCTTGTTGCAAAGGGCTGCCTGGGTAAAAACCATCCACCAACAGTCTCCCGGCGTCCCCATGGCATGTCCTCTTTCGCCAGCATTTTTAATACCTTCTCCTTTCCTGATCAAAAACTTCGCGCTCCAACTCCAAGCCAGAAGGTTTAGAGGTCTCAACCTCGCATCCTGCTTTCGGCTCTAACCGGCATCATGGGATGAAGCTGTCCACCCAGATACGCACTGTGTCCAACGCTCTAGACCAAAGGCAGCCTCCACCTTGAAATAAAAGGCAAGATTGCCCCCCTCTGCTCACCGCGAAGCAGCGGACAAGCTGTAAAGGCATCAGCACAAAGGTGGTAGACACACTCCCCACTTCGGATGCTTCTGGGCCTAACACTGGTAGCAGGCATCCAGCACAGGCAAATTGGAAGCCTTTAACATTCCTGAGACAAAATCATCCCACTTCTTCAGCAATATGATGGCCTTGTCTTGGCCTCCCTTCTGGCCATCGTGGTGCTTCCAAAGCTGCCTCTCAGCAAGGCGTCTTCAGGGCCCAAGCCATGTGTGACTTTTGCCACCAATTCTTCCGTTCTCACCTCAAAAGGAGACTCTCCCAGGCTCCAACCTCGGAGGACAGGGACTCAAGCCCCCCTGCTCCTTTGTGAGAGTTTCCTTTTTCTTTGCTTCTCTCCTCCTCCTCCTCTGCCTGTCTTCCTTTCTTTCTTCTTTCTACCTGCACCAGAGCTCTGTCACCAGGCCTTCAACAAACCAAGAAGCACCTCAGCTCCCCCTACCCTTGCCTCACGGGAGGCCTAGGGAGGAGGTAGCTGAGGTCACCTTTAAACCCAAAAGCTCCGGTCGGACGGGATTCGTGCATGCAACTCCTTTGGAGAACACACACACACACACACATATATATATATATATATATCACCCCCATATCCTACATATGATATGTTAACCCAACAATAACCATAACCATAGACCACGCAATAGACGCAGTTCGAACCGGCTTGTGACGTTGTTTAAATGTGACCATATACTGACCCAATATTATAACCATATCTTTACCTAATATCAGCCATATGTTAACCATATATAAACTTATAAACCCAAGTATTAACCACTGTGAACCCTGATGGTCCCAAGAATTCCAAGCTCCCGAGAGGAAAAAAACGAGGAACGTTCGAATTCTGCGAGATGTTGGACGGAGACTTGGTCACCTGCGGGAGATCCGGGAAAGCAAAGCTTTTCATGGCTGCTCAATGGTTTTAATGGTGTTCACATGTGGATTCACATTTTGTTTTTGGCTGTTCATGGTGCTTTTCATGGCTGTTTAATGGATTTTAGTTAATACGTTTTCATGTAGTAAACTCAATGCCATGTACCGTTTGGGGATGGTTGATGCAAACCATGATATGGTGACGTTTTACTATTGGGTTTGCTACATGTCGTGGTTTTTGATATGTTTGAATCTCAAATACTTGCATGTCCATCATTTTACCCACTGTTTGGACAAACAATAGCCCAAATCATTGTGATGGCTTCATCATTGGATTGACCAATTAACACTTTACCACTTTAATACAATGACATGACATGACGGTATTTTGCATGAAATGTGGGTCCCAAACTGGGAGAAACCACTATTTCGGGACGATTGTTCAACTTAACCTATGCCGTTCGCCCGAAATTCGGAAATTTGAGGGGAATCAAGCCATTGCATATCATTGAAGGTCAACAAAAACGATCAGCAGCCACTTAGACGAGAACTATGAATGTAGTCGTTGTTGAACAATGTTAACCCTGAATAAAACAGTCTGAATGCTGAGGATCATGTATGATCATCATGATCATGACAAAATCATGCAACACCGATCAGTTGCCATGGGAAATTCTCACATACCATGATATGATATTCCTACATCCAATATTGTGCGCTGATTCGATCATGAGATTGGATTACTTAAACATATTATTATATTAGTGGCTGGAGAGTGGTTTTGATGATGCAAATATGCGTATTAAACCACCATTCAACGATGACATGTTTAACATCGAACTATCTGAGCCATGAACAATTCCCCCTTCATCCCTCCCATATTGTCGTAGATGCTACCCGGTAGGTGATTTAACGTAGCTTTTGAACATGGCCCATAGAAATAGTTGATTTACCTATTAATTCTTCACCATTAGTGACTGCTAATCATCATAAATAATCATGACACAATTACGAACCATCATGAACCATTACTAACCATCATTAACCATTCTTACTTCTTACCAATTTTTACCATATTGCTAACCAACATTTAACCATTACCATTAGCCATTAATGTCAACTCCGGATTAATAAACCATGGTTGATTAATTAGGGGGTACTCCTCCAATAGTCATAATCTAATACTTAAATGGTACCCTTCCAATTAAACAGCCGTTTGGGGTTTATTAATCCACGGTGAATCAATCTACATCCCCAGCAGGGCACCTGGGGCGACTCCTTTGGCGACCTGCCGCGGTCGCTGGGTCTGCGTGGGCGCTCCGACTTCGACTTCGCGTCGCGCTCCGAGCGGGTGGACGGACGCTTTGGGGCCTGGCGAATGGCCAACGCTTCAACCGTTGCAGGGGCACCCCATCAATGGTCCCCAAAAAATGTTGAAATTCCCTGCTAAACCGTGGTTTCTAAGGGGGTGTGCAATATGAACGTGGGAAGGGATTATATTGTGGACGGTTGCGAAATCTTGCACTAGTTGATAGGTAGTTTATCCCATTATCTGAGGGTTTCAACATGTTCCAACCATCCTTTTGGTGGTGCAGGATTTCTTCCATCCACTCTAGAGTTTCCATGATCTCTCTATATCCCAGATTTTTTTGAGATATCATGGGAACATTATGAAATATAATGGGAACTTTTCCCCTCAGGGAAATTGACATAGATGTGGGAAACCCACCATTTGTTTGCTATGTTTGTAGGGAAACCATGGGTTTTCCACATCTATGTTAGTTTACGCCAGGTTGGATGCGATCAAATTTGGCAAACTTTCAAGGATTTGGAGAGATGCTGAAAAAGATGCAGAACAGCGATAGGGGCATGCTACATCTTTAAAGAAGGAAAACTTGATGATTTAAAGCCCTATCTAACGGCCGTTAGATGGCACATTTTTTGGTAAACGCATTAAAGCACAAAGGCTAACACCCATAGAACGCAATAGTACTCGCTACAAATACTCATTTTTTAGTTAAACTGTTTATTTATCATCGTTTGCTCGGTTCAAACATTGTTTTAGTTCCCGTTTCGTCTCAACTTTGCTCGCTAGGAACCCATCAAGATGTTAGCTTGAAGAATTCCCATGCGCCTGCGCCGCCGATGGTTCCATGGAGGGAGGCTTGTCATCGCACATCCTTGGTGGATTGGGGAAGGTTTTTGGTGAGTGGTGCCTACACGTTCATCAAAAAACAGGGACACACACACATATATATATATACATATATATATATATACATATATATATATACGTATATATATGATTATATATAAAAAATGTATGTATATAAAATTTACATATGCTGTGCGCACACTTCAAAATGTATTGTATTCATTAAGATTGAAAATATAGATGCATGACATGTGTATACGTTCTTTCCCTCAGTAATCACAATTATACGATTTTCCTATCTATTATATAGTCTATATATATATATTTTTTCTCTCTCTCTCTATATATATATTTATATTGATATCCGGTATCATATTGACATATGTGCCGGTGCACTTGGGGTGGTGGGTATGACGACGGTGAGTTCACATAAGTTGGGGCTTTGTGGGGGTCCCAAAATCACTAGGGTGAAATATGTTCACTTAGTTCATTGGAACTGCACCTCCAAAGAGATGACATGATATTACATAATATCTTGGTGGTTTCCAGTGTGGAAAAAAACTTCGAATGGTCCCTAAGTCCCTAAGAAATCCCAAATAAATCTTACACATCAGCTTCGGCCAAAACACTCTGCCATCGAAGACGGCTTCGTGGTGGAGTGGATCAGAAAGCCCTGCTGGCTGGCTTTCTGATCCTGAGGCGATGAGCCTGGATTGTGGGTGCTTCCAGATTTCTTTTAGGTTCCAAAGGGAGGTGAATTGAACGAAATCCTTACTTACCCTTAAATTCTTAAATATTCATTTAGGTTATATACAAGCTAAAATCAACTGAAAGTAGATTCAAATCAATTCAAATCCTTACTAATCCTTTCATTTTTGAGATTTAAAAGGAGCATCAAGTAAAAGATTGGCATCGATTGAATTCTTAAGTTGAGCGTCCTGACCATCCCCAGACATCCCCAGACCAAAGCCCCGAAGCCCAAGGTGCTGGGCTCGTCATCCTCGTCGTCCTGCATGCTCTTCGAGGCACCAAAGGCGCCCGAGCCTGGACCAAGTTGGGGATGTCATGGGAAAATCGTTGCTTTTCCCATGGAAAACGACCCCAAAAACCATGGGAAAAACATGGAAAAACATAGAAGACCATGGGAAAACCATGAGAAAATCAATGGTGAACATTTCTCGCTGGGAAAATCATCCATACATGGACGTACATGTAGCAGGGACCCTCTGGTCGACCGACATAGCTATGAATAAATCATCAAGAAACGGACCATTTTGCATAGATATGTTAAATTTCCAGAGGGTAGCCAAGGAAACGGTAGAATTTCCCACCAAGACTCTCGATTTTGAGCCAGAAAATGAAGAGGTTCGGCAATGAGAATTGGATTTGAAGAAACGCATTGTGATTATAATATATTATAATGCGATTTGAATCAGCAAATTTCTGGGACACGAATCAACTAACCTCCGTCTGAATCCAGCAGGGAAAGGCCAGCGCGGTGAAGAACGGGATTCCCAGCTCATGGACTATGATCCATACATACTCCATACATGCCCCATACTATTGTTGGATAAAACATGCTACAACCAAATCAATGAAGGTTAGATCCTATTAAATACCTACAGTTATGGCCATTTACCAGATATAAGTACTTATAACCCCATTTATAGAATGTATAATCCCATTTATAACCACTTATAACTGGTAAATGGCCATAACTGTAGTCATCAAACATTTGAGGGAACCGTGTTCAAAAAGTCCTTCACAACTTCCGCGGCACCTTTTTCTTCGTCGGTGCATTCGGACACGGTCTCCATAGTCTTCAGGGCTTGAAGGCGCTGATTGGCGTTCAACAGCTCTGCCTGAAGCACTAGTGAGGCTCCGGGGTGAGACCGGGGAGACTTGATGAATGTCTTCAGTGCTGGTGAATCTCAAACCGGGAATATATATACACTGGTAGGACAAAAGTTGCGCTTGTTGAGCTTCCCACAGTGAACATGGTTGGTTTCTTCTTCTGCACACCCTTTCCCCGTAGAATCCTAGCATGGAGCTTTGTCGTACCCCGGTCGCATTCCCACCCTCCAAAAGCTTAAAAATCTTATATATTTAAAAGAGGGTGATAATTGACCGTCCCACACCTGCCACACAAAACGGACTTGAAAATGTGATCCGCGGTTGACCGAAATGGATGTTTTGTAAAGCTTTCAAGAAGCATAAACTTTGTTCCTCCTGAAGGGTACAAAAAGCTTATTGAGTGGGGATTGCCAAGTCATTTGCTGATTTTTGCACCTGCTTCAGCTTGGTCATTACTCCACATAACATGCCTGTCTCCATCCTCTTTGTCTGCACTGCTACACATGTGCCGTGACGCACTGGTAGGACAAAAGTTGCGCTTGTTGAGCTTCCCACAGTGAACATGGTTGGTTTCTTCTTCTGCACACCCTTTCCCCGTAGAATCCTAGCATGGAGCTTTGTCGTACCCCGGTCGCATTCCCACCCTCCAAAAGCTTTAAAATCTTATATATTTAAAAGAGGGTGATAATTGACCGTCCCACACCTGCCACACAAAACGGACTTGAAAATGTGATCGCGGTTGACCGAAATGGATGTTTTGTAAAGCTTTCAAGAAGCATAAACTTTGTTCCTCCTGAAGGGTACAAAAAGCTTATTGAGTGGGGATTGCCAAGTCATTTGCTGATTTTTGCACCTGCTTCAGCTTGGTCATTACTCCACATAACATGCCTGTCTCCATCCTCTTTGTCTGCACTGCTACACATGTGCCGTGACGCACTGGTAGGACAAAAGTTGCGCTTGTTGAGCTTCCCACAGTGAACATGGTTGGTTTCTTCTTCTGCACACCCTTTCCCCGTAGAATCCTAGCATGGAGCTTTGTCGTACCCCGGTCGCATTCCCACCCTCCAAAAGCTTTAAAATCTTATATATTTAAAAGAGGGTGATAATTGACCGTCCCACACCTGCCACACAAAACGGACTTGAAAATGTGATCCGCGGTTGACCGAAATGGATGTTTTGTAAAGCTTTCAAGAAGCATAAACTTGAAGGGGACAAAAAGCTTATTGAGTGGGGATTGCCAAGTCATTTGCTGATTTTTGCACCTGCTTCAGCTTGGTCATTACTCCACATAACATGCCTGTCTCCATCCTCTTTGTCTGCACTGCTACACATGTGCCGGGACGCACTGGTAGGACAAAAGTTGCGCTTGTTGAGCTTCCCACAGTGAACATGGTTGGTTTCTTCTTCTGCACACCCTTTCCCCGTAGAATCCTAGCATGGAGCTTTGTCGTACCCCGGTCGACTTCCCACCTCCAAAGCTTTAAAATCTGTATATATTTAAAAGAGGGTGATTTTAATGACCGTACCACACCTGCCACACAAAACGGCTTGAAAAATGTGATCCGCGGTTGACCCGAAATTGTGATGTTTTTGTAAAGATTTCAAGAAGCATAAACTTTGTTCCCTGAAGGGTACCAAAAGCTTATTGAGTGGGGATTGCCAAGTCATTTGCTGATTTTTGCACCTGCTTCAGCTTGGTCATTACTCCATAACATGTCTGTCTCCATCCTCTGGATCAATTACTCCACAACATGTCTGTCTCCATCCTCTTCGTCTGCACTGCTACACATGTGCCGTGACGCACTGGTAGGACAAAAGTTGCGCTGGTTGAGCTTCCCACAGTGAACATGGTTGGTGTCTTCTTCTGCACACC